AGCTAATTAACATGTCTATCACCTCACCAATTTATAATTATTTTTCTTGTCTGGAGAATGTTAAAAAATCTATTCTTTTTAGATTCATCATTTATAATTATACATGTTTATAGAGTATAAAATATATGTATATCTGGCATATTTATCAAATCATGGTAGGATTATTATTTTTGTGGTAAGAACATTTCCAAGTAGCTCTTGTAACTATTCTGAAATATATAACACCTTATGGTTAATTATAGTCACCCAGTGTGCAGTAGAACACTTGAACTTATTTCTCCGATTTAATTGTGACTGTATCAGTTAGCATCCTTTTCTTTTTGACCTCTTCTATCTCCCCTTCCCTAGTCTCTGGTAACCACCATTCTACTCTTTTCTTTGAGATCAGCTTTATTTAGATTTCACACATGAGTGAGGTCATGTGGTGTTTGTCTTTCTGTGCCTGGGTTATAAAAATCTATTCTTACTTAGCTCAGGGGCATCATGCCTGCCTTGCAAGGTCCAGAGTTCGATCCCCGGTACAAAAAAAAAAAAAAAAACTATTCTTTGGGGGGAATTTGCAATACACAACAGATTGTTATTAACCTAGGTTAGCACGCAGTGCAAAAGATCACTGGAACTTACCCTCTTTGCTTTCCCAATCCCTCTCCTTCACCCTCACCCAGGCTCTGGTGACCACTTTCCTGTCCTATTTCTATAAGACTGATTTTTTTCAGATTTCACATATAAATAAGATCATATAGTATTTGTTTTTATATTCCTGGTTTATTTCACTTAGCACAATGACCTCCAGTTCCATCCATGTGATTGGGAATAAAAGGATCTCCCTCCCTCCCCTCCTTCTCTCCTCCCCTCCGCTTTTCCCTCCCCCCTTTCTTCATTCTTTCTTTCTTTGTGGTATTGTATTCCATTGTGCACATATACCACATTTTCTTGTCCACTCATCCATTGATGGACATTTATTGTATGTTGCTCCCATATCTTGACTTTTGTGAATAATACTAAAACAATTATGGAGTGCAGATATCTCTTCAACATACTGATTTCAAACCCTTTCAAATCACAGAAGTGGGATTGCTGGATCATATAGTAATTCTATTTTTGTTTTTTGAAGAACTTCCATACCATTTTCCACAATGGATGTACTAATTTACATTCCCATCAACAGCACAAACAGAGTACAGGGATTCCCTTTTCTTCATATCCTTGCCAAAATTGTTATTTGCCTTTTTGGTAAAAGGAATTCTAACAGATATAGTTGATATCTCATTGTGGTTTTAATTTACATTTCTCTGATAAGTAAAGATGTTAAACATTTTTTTTTCATAAACCTGTCGGTCATTCATTTATTATAAGAAATTTCTGCTCAAATTCTTTGCTCATTTTAAAATCATTTGTTTTTGAGTTGAATTCCCCATATATTTTGGGTATTATCCTCTTATCAGTTCTATGGTTTGCAAATATTTTCTCCCAATCTATAGGTTGACTCTTCATTCTGTTGTTTCTTTTGTTGTGCAGACAACTTTGGTTTCATGCAATTCCATTAGTTTATTTTTGCTTTTGTTGCCTATGGTTTTTTAATGCTTTCCAAGAAATCATTGCCTGGACCAAATACTGGAGCCTTCCTCCTGTTTTTCTTTAGTAGCTTTATGTTTTCAGTATGACTTTTAAATCTTTTATCGACTTCAAGGTGATTTTTGCATATAGTGTGAGGTAAAAGTTCAATTTTGTTTTTTCGCATGGAAGTGTCCAGTTTCCCCAACATTATTTATTGAAGAGACTGTTGTTTCCCTATTGTATGTTCTTGGCACCTTTGTCGAATAATCAATTGACCATAAAGGCTTGTGTTTATTTTTAGGCTTTCTATCCTGTTCTATTGGTCAATGGTCTGTTTTTATGCTAGTCCATGTGGTTCTGATTACAATAACTTTAATATATTTTGAAATCAGGGAGTTCTGATGCCTTCATGTTTGTTCTTTTTACTTAAGATTGTTTTGGCTATCCAGGGACTTTTCTAGTTCTGTATGAATTTTAGGATTTTTCCTCTATTTCTCTGAAAAATAATATTGGAGTTTTGATATGAATTGCATTAAACCTATACAATGTTTTGGCTAGTAATTTTTAACATTAATTCTTCTAGTCCATGAACATAGAATATCTATTTATTTGTGTCTTCTTTAATTTCCTTCATTAATGTTTAGTCGTTCTCGCCATAAAGATCTTCACTCTGGCTAAATTTACTCTGAAGTATTTTCTTTCTTATTTTTTGATGCTATTGTAAATGGGATTTTCTTAATTTCTTTTTCTCACAGCTTAGTGTATAGAAGTGCTATTTATTTTTGTATGTTAATTTTATAATCTCCAGTCTTACTAAATTTATCAATTCTAACAGTCTTTTTTTGGTGGAAACTTTAGTTTTTTATATATAAGATCATGCCATCAGTGAACAGAGATTATTTCACTACTTTTCCTACATTTCCTTCCCTTCCTCTCTTTTCCTTTTCCTCCCTCCAATCTCCCCTCCCTCCCTCTCTGGTTCTACCCTTTCATCTTTTGCTGTCCACTCCTTCTATCCCTTTAAGATTTCTTTTGGGAAGCCTTTTTTGGCAAGAGTTACTCCTAAAGTCCAGACAGGATTGGCTCCACTGCTCTTTATGTGCCCATAGTTCCCTGTTCATTGGATTGAGGATGTTTCAGTGAACTTATCCATTTATCTGTCTATATCTCAATTAGATTATGAGTCTCTGAAGCTTGTGGCTTCAGAGGATCAGGGACTTGGGAAGTAAGGAAGAGACCACATAGGTTCCCACACCTATCTGAAGAATCAGACTGAACACCTGTCACAGTTTTATGAGTCCTGTGAGGGGACAACATGTTCTCCGTGGACATTCCCAAATTTAGATTTGGCAATTAAAATCCTGCAGAGATTTCCGATAACTGTGAGCTGCAAATACCTTAAAAATAATAGATTGATGATTTCCTTTATTTCCTAGAATTTCATTTATATTTTGTTTACATTTTAGAATGTATTTGTCCTTACTTAATTTAAAATGATGAATCTAGTTTGAATCAGCTGCATTTATTTGTATTAATGCTAATTTTCCCATCAAAATTTGCCTGTGGAACATATACAGTTCTTAATTTTAAAATGTCAGTTCTTAAAATATACTTTATGAAGCTATTGTCAGCTTCTGTTTCAAAATGTAATCAACATATAACTATATTGGTATTAGAAAATATTTGTTTTTTAAAAATATATTGATGTATGATAAAGATGATCTAATTTGTGAATGCAAAAACTTTTTTCTATAAAATTTATTTTCAATAAAAATTATTTTTCTATACTCCTCTGCCTAGCATGGCATGGAGTAGATACTCTACAAACACCTTTAAAGTAAAGGCATTTACTTTACAGATAAGGCAGAGAGGTGTAATCAATATCAATAAAAGTATGATTACTTCTCAGGCTTGACTGTGAGTAGGCATAGTGATATTTGGACAGCACTGCGAATTAGGTGGGAGAGAGAGTGGGGCTGGGTGTGTCCAAAGTCAACCGAGTCCCAAGAGAAGCTGGTTTCTGTAGCAGAGCTTCTGTAGGTCAGTGGGGAAGGCTGGGATTCTAACAGAGAGCCCTGAGGGACAGGGCTCAAGATCTGTTGCAAGATATCCATAGGCACAAACCTCTCATTTCAGTTAAACCTTTTATATTTATGGAAGTTTTATTTTTGGATGAAAAATCGTTTACTATACCCGTTAATAACATATGGATTCTGTCTGAATAAGTTAAAAAACAAAACAAAACAAAACAATGGAAGACAAGCCAGAATTAGATTTTCTTTTTTTGCCTCTCCTACACTGATACTTCTTTGCAGGTGCTTTCACGAAGACCCTGGATCTAGCTAGAGTAGAAAAGGTAGAATGGTGTATTTCACCTGAAGTTCAGTACTGAGTATTTATGAACTTCAAGTCTCACTAGGGCTTCTTTTGCAGTTAAACTAATGTTGTGGGATAAAAGAGACAGGAGAGATCACTGGGACTCAGGATTTATTAGGTGCACCTTGACTCAGGAGACTGCTTTCTAAAAAGAAAACTGATTTTTAAGTTCTGCTTTAGTAATTAGTAAGTAATAATGATAATGATAAAGAGAATGAACTGATGATGATGATGATGATGATGATGATGATGATGATGATAGTAATGTAGTCATATAGAAGTTACAATTCTCAGATGCCCGTGTGGCTGGTAATTTCATATTTGGTATCATATTTGTTCTCCACTACATTTCTGTTTTGAACCACTAAAGTGCAGTACGATCAAATAAGTTGGGGCAGGTCCAAGGGACAAGTCAGGAAGCCTGTGGGGCCAAAGGCCAAGCTGGATTTACCAAGCCATACTGAGTCTTTTCTAGTGTATAAAGAACTGCTACCTGCTATCGGTTAAGGGAAGGCCGGGAGGGTGCGTGGGGAATAGCTGACAGGCGAGGAGAGATAGGACGGTCTCTAGGTAAAAGGCCAGCGGAGGGATGGACAGGCTGTTCCAGAGTTTAGGTAGGAGGGCTGGAGCGGGAGCGGGGGGCGGGAACACCGGGGAAAGTGCGGATCATTTGTGTACAAGCCAGAAAAGCCGCCTCTCCTGGGAAAGTACAGTAAAGGTGAGGGGAAAGTGAGTGTGGACAATACGGACATCTCCGTGACTCGCTGAGGCAGCTCGTCCTCAGCCGTCTTACATGGAAGCAGCGCCTCTTCTGTGCTAGCCTGGAATGGGGTCGCGCTACAGCAAGTGGACAGGTGAAGCGGCGCAGCTCCTGAGCAGGGTGTCCTCCCCTCGGCGCCTTGGTACGGCCCGGCCCCGGCCGCTGATCTGGCAAGCTGCGCGCGCACCCTGCGGCGGGGCGCCGGCCGGCGGGGAGCACGGCCTCTGCTGCCAGTCCGCCCGCCGGAGTCTAGGTCAGGCTCTCTCTTCCGCGCCTCGCGCACTCCTTACCAGCTCCTTACCGGCTTGGCGCCCGCCTGCTCGCGCGTCCCCGCGCCTGGCAGGGAGGAGCGCCGCCGCGGGGGCGCGCCCCGTGACTCCGCCCCCACTCCCCTCCCCTCAGCCCGGGTGCCCGGCTCCCGCTGCTCGGTGCGAGGAGACCCGGGACTCCACGCCCGCCCCAGCTCCCCCTCCCCGGCGCGCGTGGCGCCGCGCCCTCCCGCCGCCCGGCCCGGTGTATGGAGGGGCCTGTTCGGATCGCCGCAGCCGCCGCCCGCGCGCGGGGATGACCTGGGGGTGGCTTTTGGAGCCGGCTACCGCGCAGGAGGTCTGGGGGCTTACCCGGCCCCGCCGAGAGGTGCGGGGGCGGGGGTCCCGCGGCAGGGGCGGAGAGGGGCGGCCGCGCGGCTCGGGAGTGGGGACGGAGAAGGCTGCCCGAGGGCGCGGGGTGGGAAGGGAGCCCCGGGGTCCGCGTCCTCGGCTGTCGGAGCCACCTCGAGGGAGGAGGCGGGGTGAGGTGTCAGTGACACGCCGGAATCCGGCTCTGAGGATGATCTCCGCGGGGCAGGTGGGATCCCGCGGAGGTGGGGGGGACGCCAGCGGTTTTTCCCTAGGGAGCTGGGTCCACCGCCCCTCTCAGCCCCGCAGAGTCCCCGCGAGAGACAGTGATTTATGTGTAGGGAGAAGCAGGAGAAATTTCCTGCACAATGTATCTTTCTCTGCCTTCTTAGACTCAGTGACTTCCCAGCCCCAGGGAGTGTATTTTGCCTTCTTTTCTGTAAAGCTTGCTGTGGATTTCATTATCATTTGCTAAATACATTACAGCTCGCTATTTATTTCAGACTGCAGCTTCCAGACCTTTGTTGCTTTCTCTCCACATCTAGGAATTCGAGTAATAAATCACTGAGAGGAGTAGATGGACTCCCTTGCCCTTCCCTTCATTGTTCTGCCTAACCCCACCAAATCAGGTGGAAGGTCTCGGAAAGGAGCTCTCCCACAAAATGCCTGCCTTTCCTGGTGGGGACGACAGAGGGTGGCAGGTGCTCCGAGGCTAGGCGGCGGGATCTGGAATCTAGGGAACTTCATGAACAGAAAGTCAGCCTTTGTGCCCTAAATCAGACACCTTGAAAAACTAGATTACAAAAAACGTAATGTGAGATTCACTCTCAGGCCAATGACAGCAAAGATGAAAGAAGCCAAGTTGATTCTGATTCCATGCTTCACTGATAGCATAACTTTCAGATTCTCAACTGACATTTAGCACACCTAATGGACTCAGCGAGGAAAACTGGGGAGGGGGCTACAGAGCACATGCAGTTATTTTAGTATAATTCTAGACATTCTATTACATCTTATAGCTCTTCCCTCCCGTCCAATAGTCTATTTTTAGAAAATGTTGAGTTCAGTAGTTTTGGGATAAGATTATAGAAAACCGGAAAATTTCTGGAAATTTAAAATTAGTGCTTAACTAGAAAGAATTCTTAGGAACCCAAAGAGGCACCAAATATTGAAGCCTCTGTTATGCACATGTTGAAATAAACTGCCACATACTTTGAGTTATATGAGAAGGATGGAGAAAACCTGTTTCATTTTGTAAAGACGTGCCCTGGGTGTATGTTTGGCAGCGTGTAGAGCAGAAACATTTATATTTCTATAAAACACACGCATACAAATGTATATTGTTTAACTTTCATGCAAAAACTCGGATACAGTATTTGGGAAATCTGTCTTTGTTTGAATAGTTCAGTCAACCAGGAAAATCAGTTACTAGAGGTACTGTGCTATTGTTTGTGTAGTAACTCACTTGGGATCCTTTGATTGATTGCTATGGTTCTCATCAACCTCCTCTTCCTTGCAAAGTACTTAAACAGCCCTAACTCTCAAGCGGGAAGTACAAAGAACCCTTAGGACTTGGAGCATACTGATTCAGCTTGTGTAGGTTGCCTTCTAAATCTGTCTTGTGCCTTGCCTTCTTTGCAGGTGGTTTGACTTTTCATAAAAGGAATTAAGTTCATTTTAAGATAGGGCTCCCCCCCAACCCCTTCCTCAAGATACATATAGATGAAGGCTGCGTGTAGGAAAGAGTTTCTGTCATAGGGCTTTGCTTAAAGAGATCAGGTAAAAATTAATAGCTATTTCTCATGCTTTCTTGTTATTTTCCTACTCTGCATACTTTCATTGCTTTGTAAACAGTTTCATTTATGGTTTTGTTAAAATATAAATGAAGTAAAAGTTTTCTCCTCCCAAAATGTTTCTTTTGTGAACATGTAGCTTAAAAATTGGTGTTGTGTCTAAGTAAAATGATAAGGAAATGATTTCAAGAATTAAAAACTATCAGTGAAGTTAAGGAGGGGATAGGAAATAAAGAATAATTAATTGAAAAGTTTGTTGTTTTAATGTGTAATTATATTAGCTAACACCCTGTGTGATCGCCATGGGTACTATGTAGGAGTAATAGGATACCAAGTTACAAGTGTAGATGAATTGCCTACCAGCTAGTCTTTAGATAAATGATCTTACTACTTAATACAAACTACTTAAATTACAAACGGAATTTGGAATCTGGCTGCTGAATATACTGCTTTGAAGAACTTGCTTTTGTAGTGTTATTTTGATTGGTGCTTTTTTTGAGAAATTTTATTAATTTGTATGGAATTAGAAAATGTCTTATTGTTTTTATTTAAATTTTTGCATTGTACATGAAAGTTGCATGTGATTTTTTTTTTTTTTGGTGTATTTTTCATGAGTTCACCAATTCACAAGAGGATAGGGAGGAGGGCTTTACTTGATTGTTTCCTATTAAAATAAGGAATGGTGTATGGAATATACTTAATGTCACTTTTAAAATACTGGATTACAATGAAATGAAAACCTGGTTTGTTGAGGTTTTTTTAATCCTTCAAGTTTTCTCTCACTCTTAGTGCTGTTTTCCTCCATTGTCAGGTTTAAAACATACAGTATCATTGTCATCTGTCCCTTGAATAATGGTCCTGAGGTGATATTATTAATGTGGCTTTTTAAAATCAAACTAATTATACTTGCCTAAAAGAGCCACATGTGTGTGATTCTAGCTGCCTGGTGCCTTTTGAGAGCCCTGGAGACAAGCTAGTGAATAGAGCTGAAAATTCATTCTGTATTTGATTAAATGGAACAGACTCGCTGCTCCTTACCCCAGCAGGGGCTATGAGATCTCTTGATCCCCGAAGCGGCTCCAAGACCCTGGGAATTCCATTAGCGAGTACCTGAGGAATTTCTGCCCTGCAGTGCCTTTTTTGTATGTGGTGTGTGTGTGCGCACGTGCGTGTGCGTGCATGCATGTGTGCTTGTGTGTGTGTGTGTAGAGGGAGTGGAGCAGCGTAGTGATTGGGAGGACATGGGGGGAGTGGCTGCTTTAGAAGGCTCCATATGTTAGATCTGAAATCAAGGCATGACCTAACAGCTTATCTTGTAAGAGAAAAGCCCAACCTAAAGGCACATTGCTAGTAGAGACTTTATTATAAGCAGGATTGTGGTGATGTGTTTTTACCACTGAAGTGAACCCCAGTGTCAGTACGGAAAGACACTTCTCTGCTTTCCCCTCTGTAGCACAAGCATATACACGTTGCAGACCTGGTAAGTTTTCTTTGAATGATCTTTTGATAAATATGTAAAATTGTATTGCAGTTTGGTCTTGCCTATAAGAGTTGATGTATAGTGTGATAACTCTTAAGCTTTGAAAGCAAAGTCAGACTTTTACGGAGATGAAATGCTTGTGGGAATAGGCATATTTTAGTTTATGCTTTTGTTTTGATATGGTTTATTGTGTTTTTGTTACGTTGTTACATAATTTAAATTCCTTTAGCATATACCTCTCTTTTCAGTTGGTTCTAATTCTATCAGATTTCTAGTATTTTCGAGACATTGCTTTGTAGACTTGCAGCCCCACGAAAAACAAAAACATGCTGTAAAATCTTTGGAGTAAAAATTTTGAGAAATATTAACATATTTTCTCCTCGCCCCCCTTGCCCCAAATAGTTTTTGGAAATATTTTTTCAGAGTATTACGCAGTTTATTTCTTATGTACTTTTCAAGGAGGACCAGTTCTAAATGGTGTGGTGATATAGTTAATTGATTTTCATCTGAGAATGTGGAGTCCAGTGCTAATAGTTTTCAACTAATGCAGAAGGCAGTAACATTTTTGATGATTAATTTTATTTTTTTTTGCTAAAGTCATGTTGTATATAGTACATAGTTCTTTTCATCCTATTCTTTTGTAGTTCTGTACTCAGTTTTCGTCACAATACAATGTGTTTCAAAAAAAGAAGCCTTTTAGAAAACATGTTTAATTTTTTCCATCTTAATCCTGGGCATGCTTCCTACTAGTACTGCAACATTGAAAGGACTGTCAGATGAATTGGGTAAACACTGAGGTTAGTGCCTGTCTTGGTTCACACATTAGTTGCTTTAGAGTGTGCTATATTTTGATGGCTAGAGATAATTGAAAAAAGAAAAGTACTCTAGAATGTTTTGTTCTACTGTATGTGAGTAGGAACTTCAGTTCTTGGGAGCCAGTGGTTTGCCTTTTAAAAGAGGAACCACATATGTACTCGTTATATTATTGACTTAGGTTACATGGTCTCCTTGTTTTGTGGCTTGGATCTATTTTATTTTTGCTTGGATTGATTTTATTTTTGTATTACCGTAATACAAACAGAAAACTAAGAAGTTGATATAGAGCATGTTTTCAGTTCTTTTATAGACCAGCTTACCTCTCGTTATTTGTATGAACTTGGGCAATGATCTTGACCTAGTCTTGGGTTCTTTATCTGTAAAATGGGGATAAAATCAACTATAGCTCTTCCACTGTGGGGGGGATTCAGTCAGATAATGAAATTAAAACATTTGGCAAACAGTAAAGCCTTTATAAATGTAGCTGCTGATATTTGCTGTTATTTGCAGGAACTCCTCTGCCTATTAGTGTTCTACTTTGATTTAGAAGCAATTACTTTGAAGTACTAAATAATGAGGAATGAATGTGGCACTTGTAACTGCTGTAGTCTTGGTGTGTTAAAGTTTTCTTAAATTTCTAGTTGAAACTAAGAAAGGACTTGGAAGCAATGTATTGCATTTTTTCCAATGAAGGATAAATGTAACAGTATACATATACAAGTGTATAGCATATATGCACAAGTGAACAGCCACATGAATTGTTCTATATGCACACACCTATGGTGATCATTATCCGATCAACTAGCATTTCTTTAATCTCAGAAGGCTCCCTGGTACCCTTTCTCAGTCCTCTCTCTCCTTTGTAGGCAATGACTGGTCTGACCAATCTCAACTATAGATAATAAGTTTTGCCTGTTCATGAATTTTATG